GGAACAAAGTTGGTTCCTGAAACTTTAAAATTATTTTAATAAAACCATGTTGATTAAAAGTGACATTTTTGTGGTGTGTAAATATAGTCGTTCAGTGCACCCCCTACATTTCCTTAGAAATAAAATGTAAGGGGGGAATAAGGAATTATCAAAGTGAAAAAGACTCGAATCAATGTCATTTGAACATGGGGTAGAGGTTTCTGCCAACTATTTCAGTGATACTGGTTATGTTATCCTTGGCTTCCCTGAAATTAAAGGTGGCAGTGGCCATTCTCTTATTTCGACATTGTCTTCTTGGCAGCACACCCTTTCGCTTGCATGATGATGCTTACATTCTCAAGTTAATGCGCCACTACCAATTGCTGGAGAGTAGACATGTTTCTTGACGTTCTTCAACTCGACATCTTGAATCCCCAGCACTAATGCTGGAGGCACCAGATCTGTCTACTAGTTTTCTGAGAAAGATTCACAGAAATGAGCATATTGGAGAATTCTGGTTGATACACGGTATAGGGAAGATATTACACTCATACACGCATTTATGATTTTTATCTTTCGGACTTTTTTTGCTGTATTAATAGGTGTATGCATTTCCAGTTGTGGACAATAACAAGATGGGATTAGACCTGCCCTATTGAATTTTTTCTATCAGCCTTTCAGGGCTCTGGGTTAGCTTCTACATATTTGCTGCTTCACAAAAACATAGGTATAGTTGAAGAGTAACAGGGGAGTGTTGATCATAGACCAGATGGTTGAGGGGAATCCCCTGGGCATCTGAGTACCGAATGTATCCCATAGACGGTGGAGAGTTTTAATATTCATTCGCGTTGGTAACATGGTATATTTTTGTGCTCTTGCAGAAGGCCAATGTGCAGTAAATTGAAAACTCTCGAGCAATGTGAATCAAGTTGAACTTGTTGAGTTTGGTATGTTTAAGTTTGGTTTGGTTAGGTTTGGTAGTGACTTGATTGAACTCCAGCTAAGCTCAATTGTCGAGTTTATAATTTTGTTTAAGTTTGGCTCATGAAAAGTTTAATATATAGAAAAGTGAACTTGTCGAATTAAGTTCAATTTCTTAGCTAAAATCTTTCAAATTTGCAGAATCAGCTATTGAATCACACATTAAAGGTAGTAGAGATGAGAGAAAATTTTGAGGTTATTTATTTTTTAAATGCGATTGTCTGGTAAAAAAAAATTAAATAGAAAATGCTATTTGGATTTAAATACTGACTTGATCAATCACAAATATCGAATATGTAATTGGTCTTAATAAATATTTGGATCTACAGTTAAATCAATGATAATGATGAATTAAGTCAAAAAATTAAATCAGTATTTTAAGTTCATAGAGCATTACTCAAATTAAATTATTCAGGAATAGGAACCAACTCCAAATCAAGCCAAGCCTATTCGAGTTGAGCCATTTAGATATCATTTATAATATGAATTTTGAAATCTCTGAATAAAATCAAATCCAATTTGCAATCAAAACGAGCTTGAGTACTTTATCAATTAGAAGGGGGACAAATTCCAGTCCGGTGACAATAATGGGTTAAACCAGTACATTAGATCAAAACATTAGCGCTTGTTTGGATGAATTTTGGGGACGATTTGGATTAACTTTTCTAAATTCTTTCAAATTCAAATCTCACTTTACAAAAATGGAATTCAATATTGAATTTAATCCATACTCATGTTTGATATGTAACACATGCAAATATAAGACTCATGGATATATCATAATTATGAACAACCATCTGTCCTATAAATGACTATTTTGCCCCTTGATCAATTCAATTCATACACATGTTAAGGGGTGCAATTGTTTTTGTATCCTTAACCTCTTAACCCATTTTTTCAAAACCACCATTTTAGGTTTGACAAAACTCAAGATCATGAGTTTAATATTTAGGCTAGCTGCAACCTGCAAGCTAGATTTGAAAACATAAAATTGAATTTTTAATTCAAACCAGGATCAGCCCAATAACGAGGCCGAAGAAGTGATTGCTTTAGGCCCCATTTTTTATAAGTCTTTAGTATTATCCAAACCAAAAAATTAAACTCAAATAAAATTGAGTTCACGGAAAAAAAAGTCCTATATACTTTAAACTAACAAAAGATTTCGAACAAAAATGGGTCCAAAAATGTTTGTGGCATAACAAAAATAAAAAGCTCACAACTCATTTAGTTAAAAATATGAAATTTTAATTAGATTGTTACATGTAAAAATGAAGAAGTCAATAATCAATACCATTAATTACTCTTTCTAACCAGTCAATTACATTAATCAAACACACACTTTCTCCTAAGTCTCTCCTATTAAAACATCAACCCCTCTCTCTCTTTCTCTCTCACACACACACACACATAAAATTAATTTTTGTTTCCATCTAAAAACAAAATAAAAGATTATCTTTCCCCTTTAGCTTGTGACCGCTTTTCTAATTCACACAACAAAGGTCATCAAATCAGCCCCGATATATTATTTTATATTCACACTTTCTATTTTTCAATGTTATTTTGTATAAAATATAGTTTTAATCAACTTATTCACATTATAATATTCTAAATTCTAGGAGCACTAATGATAAAATTAAGGTTTATTATTTTATAATTTTGTTTTTTTATTAAGTTTTTTACAGAGTATTTGATTGATTTATATAAAAAAGTTGGATTGTCAAAAAACAGTGGCTACAAAAAAAGAACAATTCAGAAATAAGGAACTTGAAAAAAAAAGAAAAATAGAAAAACTTATTGAATCACAAAAAAACAAAAAGATCTATTAATAAATTTATTATTAGTAATAAAAAAATAACAAAAGATTTATGTGAAAGTTTTGAAATAAGCAAGTGATAGATTTTAAATAATTAGAAGATATTCAAATTATATGATGATAAAATAACAAATAAAATCTTTTATAATGATGGTCGAAAATGTAATATAATAATTCTTGATCATGAAGAATATACAAAAAAATTATTAGTAATTTTAAATTTTAAAAAATAAAATAAATAATAAATTATATTAATAATAAAAAATAAAAAAAATCCCCGCATAGAATCCTACTTTAGGCCCCAAAACAGCTTTTCCCCTAATTCAAACAAAAGATTTGGAGATTCTTTGAACTATTTTTTTTAAACTCATCTTGTCAAGTCCCCCAAATCGCCTTACCAAACAGCCCGCAAGTGCAATTAACATCATTATGAAAGTAAGAGTCATATATCATTACCTAAAGATAAAAACAAGTAATTTGAAGAAATTTAATAATTATAGTGACAATAATACTATTAGACCGTGTCAAAACCTCATCATTAAATTAATAAATTAAATTAAAATTTTAAGTACGGATAGCATTCCTCTATCTCGAAACGCCAAACCTAAATATGTCTACAATTTGTATGCATATTAATGTCACACACACACACACACAGGAGCTAGTGAGAAGTTCAGCTTGTTCATGCATGAGCACTACCTAAAAAATACTCGGTTCCGGACAGGAGAAAAAGCCTTTATTTGTGTTGCCACTCGCTTTCAAGGGCTGCGTGGGTCTACTGTCTTTCTCTCTCTCTACTTTGCATGGAAATACATACAGAGGGCATCCACCAACGCATACACATATATATTATATATACAAATACAGCCCTGAAGAGAGAATGAGAGAAAGTAACGGACAAGAGCGAAGAAAAAGGTTCATTTGGTGGGACACTTGAGACTGCTGTCATCGCCAAAGCACCCAAGACTGACCTTTTTCTTCTACAATTCCTTGCAATTCGTTTAATCATCTTGTATAAACTACCATTAATTATAAGTTTACAACCAAAGCTTAATGGTCGTAAAGTAGTAATGCTACTTGTTTTTTTTTCTTTTTTTTTTTTTAACAGAGCAGTAATGATATTTTAATGAGCAATTTTACATGATCTTAAAACTTAGACTTGATAATCTCAACCATTGATTTCATTATGGTTATGGGTTCTAGCATTTATTGGGACCCATTATCTATTCAATAGTTGAGATTATCAAATCTAATTTTTAAATCTATTTTTTAAATTGATATAACATTACTCTACTTGAATATATTCTTTTGAACTTCTCCATTAACTCAATTAATGGTTAACATAACATTGAACATCACTCTTACGTAAGATTCACTATCAATTCAAAAAAACATAATGAATTATATATATCGACTTGATTACAAAATTAAATCTCAACGATATAGAGCCAACTCCTGCTTCTTCTGATCTTTCTCTTGATCAAACATACAATCACTATTTTTTTTTTCATGCAAGTGGAGTCACAAAATTCTTTTTCAATTAATGAAAAATGTTATTTGTATCTAATTTTTTAACCTTATTTGTTAATTTAATCACTCACTATTGAGTCTAAATAAACAACATGCTCCCCTTCTCAATCGAAACCCTTAAAAAGCAACGAAACAAATATAGACATAGTGAAAACAAAAAAGTACAACTTGGCTTAGTTATATATATAACATAAAGCCCCATCTCTTATTTTAGCTCATTCTCATTCTCTCACTCTCTCTCTCTCTCTGAACACTTCCTGTTGATGTGATTCTCCACTATAGCTCCAAAAACCCCCCATCAAACTTTACAAAAGAGAAAGACCAAGAACCATGGTTTTTTCCTCCATTCCAGCTTATCTTGATCCAGCCAACTGGCAACAGGTAAGGATTATCTTCAATGTGTTTCCATGGCTTCTTTGCCAAAAAAACTCAATCTAAAAGATAAATATTCTTGTCACCTTTTTTTTGTTTCTATCTCTTGCTCTTTACTTTGAACATTATTGTTTTCTCCAGTTGAATATACCAGATATTTCATTTTTTACCTTTGCTTTTGCAGCTACCAACTCATCAAACCGGAAATAGCAGCGGAAATCCTCAACTTCCACCACCACCACCACCTCCTCAGCCTCATGTGGGAGGCGGCGCAGGCTCAATTAGGCCAGGCTCCATGGCCGATCGTGCCAGGATGGCCAACATACCGATGCCAGAGGCGGCCCTTAAGTGCCCCAGATGCGAATCAACTAACACAAAGTTTTGCTATTTCAACAACTACAGTCTCACACAGCCTCGACACTTTTGCAAGACCTGTCGAAGATACTGGACAAGAGGTGGTGCCCTGAGAAGCGTTCCGGTGGGAGGCGGTTGCCGGAGAAACAAAAGGAGCAAAGCAAGTAGTTCAAAATCCCCCGCCGGCAGTAGCGATCACCAATCAAATTCTGGTTCCACCACCATAGTTTCCTCTACCAGTGGACCGGCCAATATATTAGGCCTCACACCCCAAATTCCATCGCTACGGTTCATGGCTCCTTTTAGTCAGCTTTCGGCCGATTATGGTGCAGGTGACATAGGGTTAAACTATGAGGGTATTTCAGCTCCGGTGGCGGCGACAAACGAGATGAATTTTCAGATGGGTACAAATTTCCTTGGTGGTGGTGGTGGTGTGTGCTTCCTTTTTATCCGCTGGAGGAATTGAGCAGTGGCGGTTGCAGCCGCCCCAACAATTTTCTTTCCTGGGTGGCATGGACCCTTTATCGTCACAGTGCCTATTCCCATTCCAAGGTGGTGTTGAGACATCAGGTTATGTTGGTGAAACTAGTCAGGTCCGGCCGAAATTATCTGCCTCCATGCTTACTCAGTTTGCTTCTGTGAAAATGGAAGATAATCAAGAGTCCAATTTGTCGAGGCAATTCTTGGGAACTCCAGGAAACGATCAATGGACTGGTAGTGCGTGGACAGATCTTTCAAGTTTTAGCTCTTCTTCCACCAGTAATCCCTTATAAACTCTCTCCTGTTACCTCCAAAACCCGACATTGAAGCATAAAATTTTAGCACTGGAGCTTCAAGTGAAGAAAATCAAGTCCGGGAACAAAGTCCTTCAAGCAACATAGCCACTTAATCCTAATTGATGGAGGCCTATGGACGGATAGACCAAGCACTTTGTCTTTCTAAGATCAACATGAAAACCCTAGATATGGTAGGTTTCCTGTTTTTCAATTATCTTTATTTGTAGTTTGCTTTGTAATATGACTGAGAGTGATTGTAGACATGAGTGTCTTATGTTCTTATAACGGTATAATAGGCATGGACTACCCTTTAATGATAGCTAGCTAGTTAATGTGTTATCAATAATAGCGAATGGACGTCTTATATGTTTTGAATTCAAATCAAAGGATGTTTTACATATATCTATATCCACCCAAATGCTCACAATTTCAGGGATACACAGAGACAATCATGATTTTTCTTGTCTGGAACAGCTTTGATTTTAGATATAGGTGTCACTACTACACCATTTCTTCCTGTTGATCAAAGTTTTCACATTATCTGCGAGTCTAAAGTTAGCCTTCACTTGTAATGCCGCATTACAAGTGAAGGCTAACTTTAGAAAGTTTGAAGGCCAGGAATGAACAACATTGTCTTGTGTTTTATGATGTTGAAATCAAATTTGCGATCAAACATTGCAAGTGAAGGCTAACTTTAGAAAGTTTGAAGGCCAGGAATGAACAACATACAACATTGTCTTGTGTTTTCTAATGTTGAAATCGAATAGCGATTTCAGATAACAAATGAAGTCGGTGATGGTACAAGAAAAATGTTGAAATACCTTTAACCTGTTCTTGTTAATATGTGTATGTGGACAAAATGTCAGGTGCTTCGAATAAGTTGTTTCCTTAGTATGAAAAGGCAACAATACCACCCTAATTATTGGGATTTAAAACTTGGTGCTTGCTTAGACTCATCATTTCTTTCAATTAACCATTTCAAAGATCGAAAAGTTTCACATAAATGTGCCGCGATATGCAAATTAGTCTAACAGAAGATACATTAATTTTTCAATCATATGCCATGTGCCAATTGCATAGGAAATGTCTACGTAGCATATTCTTCTATATCCCATTAGCTTCTTCTGAAAACCAGGTTTGAACAGTTTCGTTTCTTCAATTAGACAAATTCTTTAGGTTATTGAACTAAAAGGTTTTCAAAAACTAATGTGTTGAACTTAAATAAAAACTGAAATGATGTTCCTTTGACAAACTTTCGGCCTTTTAGTCTATTTTTTATTTGGTAAGACACTATATTATGTTACATGGTGGTATGATCAGATTTGAACTCACAATCTTAATGTAAAATAGTCGGGACAGTGGTCATTAGGTGAATCACTAACCTCAATCTATTTTCAATCTGGATAAATTAGAGAAGTAGAGGTATCACATGCGGCCGTTAGAGCCATCTCTGTCTGTAGGTTTTCCAAGTTACCAGCTTGAGACAATAGAATACACCCCCTTCTTGGCCAAAACAGCTGAAGAATTGGAGGTATCATATTTTTTTATTCTTTGTTTTTCTTAATGTTTCAACCCAAACGTTGGGCTTGACTTTTTTGGTATGCACTATGGTGTAAATCTGGAAAACTTATAGTGGATCCGAGAGAGAGAGTGAGAGAGAGAGAGAAAGTCTAAACATGTGCACCAATACATATACTCAGAAGTGGCGGAAGTAGTAATAAACTCATAATAGACATCTGCATTTCATCCATAGTTCAGTTTGGGAACCCTTCATTGCTTGGGGTTCCTTTGTTCAATATATACTTTCTTTTCTTTCTTTTTTTTTTGTGCATCTTTTGAGGGTTTCTGTTTGTTTGTGGACTGTACCTCTCGATAAAAATTGTAATATTTTTTTTTTTTTGATAATTAGTAAAAGCTTGACTAGCTACCAGCAAAACTATAAATAAATAAAAAAAACCAAGAAGTTAGTTACTTCCATTGATTTCTCCAAGAATCTAATGTTTGGCGGTTCCTTTTTTTCAGATTATTTTGCAAGAGAGAGAGAGAGAGAGAGATCTTTCTGTAATGATTCCATAATAATAAAAATCAGAAGAACAAGTGATATGTAGTGGTTGTGTTGGCTGAGAATATGACTGTCTGAGGGAAGAGTTTTGCGTTTGTTTAGTTGGGAAAAGGCAATAAGTGGACCATAAGTCTCAAAAGACGCCAAAATGCACACCCAATTCCACCCTCCAACCCCTCAGTTGGAGTTGAGAATTTTATCGAATTTTGTTCCCCAAGAATCACGTAAAGGCTACATATCTCAGAGTCCAATATAACTGCTTGGGTCCCGTGACAATATCAAAATACCATAAAAATTTCATGTGTAATTTTTTTTTAAAATTACTAATTCTTTTATTAATAATTAAAAATTATTTAAATCAAAATTAACGATTCTAATTAAATTTTAACACAGTAATATTATGAACAAGTCCAAAAATATGTTTTGATTCGAAGATTGATGTGTCGAACTATGTGTCCTTTGACTGTTTTAGATCCTGAGATTGGCAATGCTTTTCTCTCACTATTTCATGCTTCTGACACAGAATCTGTGCATTATGTCCAGCAGAAATATGCTCTGGAGTTGGACCAGCATCTACAGATTCTACACATGTTGTTGATCACAACAAATTAACTGTGGTGATTAATTATCTTTTGCTTTGTTAATGTTTATCTTGGAATATTTGGATTCTTGACAGGTTGTGTGGTTTTTTTGTCTGCCAAATTTTTGGTTCTCATTGATAAGATCACCCAACAACCTAATGGTTTCTTCCATAGATTGATGTGCTTGTTCGTTCTTTTCTATTTTCTTAGTCTTTTGGATCGTGGGTATTTTTAGATGTTTTGAATCCCAAATAATCCTATTGAACAAGTATTTTGGGGTCGCAAGAGTAAATTTAAGTGGAGGCATCTCTATTATTAGAATATGCTAAAATAGCCCTGAGGAATGTCTTGAAGCTTGTTGTATATCCGAATTTCTTTGATAATATATTACCAATTTAGTGATCAAAAAGAATGTTAGTCTGCATTAGGTTCACTAGTGATGTGGCAAGTTATAAATTGAAATAAAACTAGCGGCCTAGCCTAGTGGAAGTGTAAGTCGTGGTACTGGTACTTGTACTATTGGATCATTCCATAGTGTAGTTTTTTCTTTCAGTTTCGCTAGTCATGCTCAAAGGAAAGGAATCCTAGGTGCCCTACTTTTTGCAAAAACCAACGCTGCTTACCAAGAAGGAATAAAGCCAATCCTAAACCACCTCAACAAAGCTCTCTCTCTCTCTACCCATATGTGTGTGTGTGTGGAAAAGTTATGAGATCATTGCATATTTGATTGTTGGTCGGTCAGTTGTCTTCCTACGGTATTGAATAATCAGTGGGGGTTTAGTATAGTGATCCCAAGATTGTCGATAAGCAAACATATCCTACTATACCTAATCCAAAAAGACGTTTAGAGGCCGTAGTTGTACGAAGAGCAGAATCGAAAGATGGCTCACAATTCCAAGGCCAAGTCTAACATGTTCAAAACTTCTTGATGATGCCCACTTAACACTCCCCCCCCCCCCCTAGCCCCACCACCACCTCCCACTTGAAACAATAAGGAATAGAGCTATGCTACTAAAAATGAATTTTAGTCATAGATTGTTATTTTGTTTGTTTGTGACCGTTAATTTTGAAGATAACAATGTAAAGTGATATAAAGCTTTCCCGCGTGTCATTTTCAAGTTAATAGATAAAAGTAAGTTTTTAGTACTCATAAGCAGTAGATTCCATTGGGGCCACAGTCCCCAAGTTTTCCTACATTTCCTCAATCATTCATACTTGTCGAGAATCAGATTCCCCAGGTCATTTTTTTGTACATGAGTCCACTATGATAAAAATAAATAAATTATTTTTTAGTATCATATTTTCAATTTTTATCACATAAAAATATTACACGTCTATAGTTTTCTATTTTACTTTGTTACATCATTTTATCAATTTTACAATCAATCAAAACAAATCTATACCTTAAATCATTTTTAATGTGGTACAAACCGCGGGGGGGGGGGGGGGGGGTAGTCTTATCCTTGGTGCAAAATGACCTGCCCCCCCCCCCCCCCCCCCCCAAGGCTCTTGATGAAGCCAGCCTAGGCTAGTTTTTGATGGCAGCTTCTTCCTAGATAATGGCCGAGCATCGTCTTGATTGACAATTTATATACATGGATGAATGTTATAAGTGTGAATATTGGTATGTCGGACCTGATAATGAAACAAAATCAGATGTCTAGCTATACACTTTTAAAAGTTGAGTGCCATATTATAGCATCCTATGAACTATAGTGTCACCTTTTTGTTGTTCAAAGAACCACGTAATTGACTAAGTATATCCGGATGAGGACCTATGTGATATCTTACTTCTGTGTCCTACTTTAATATGATTAGAAATGTCTTAGTCCTCACTGTTTAAGCAAGCTTACATAATGGAGACCTTACCTTTCTTCAGTAAATAAGAAAGGTAGTTAAAGACATGTTTCAAGGCTCTTTAAGGTCGTGTTTTCTTTTTTTTTCTTTTTTTTAACAATCGGGATGTTCAAACTAATTTACACGCATCTCGAATAATCTCCTCCCTGGTCTGGTCAAAGACAGGGTATCCACATTGAGATTAGAGTATTCATGAGGGATAAATTTCTCATAGTCTGATTAAGGGATTTTTAAAATTCAAACTCCTGATGTCTGAATTTACCATTCGTCTATGTTATTACTTGAGCTACCCCTTAAGTTTCCAAAGTATACTCACATGAAATATTCTCAGAAAAAACAAAGTTATCTAGGCTAGAGACGATCACAACTTGATGTTACTAGATAACTACATCTCTCACGTTCCGAATACAACATATGAACATATACCACCATTTTATAGATGGCATCATTTGATGTTAATTACATGGTGATCCAATTCATCATTTAACCAAAAAAACTATTTTAATAAAACAAAAAACTTTCTAGGTCAAGCTAAACATTCTTGATTACGTTGTCATCCATTAAATTAAGCCATTGAATATATTTTAGTTAATGAGTGGGATGTTGTTTAATAGGTTTTGAATGAAGACTACCTTTTGGAAGTGCGCTGTCATGTTCTTCATGCAAAGTAATTAAATTTCTTGTAATTGTGTTTTGTCTTTTACGACACTGAATTGCATGAGGTGATGGCAACAGAATAAACTGATAGTGGTTGTGTTTGTCTTGGTCTCTCCCTCAGCATCGGATTGATGGTTGTGGTTTTTCGATGGGATAGTGCATTCATTTTACTTTTTTTTTTTCTAATCTTCCTCTAGTTTTCTGTTCCACACATACTGCATTTGCATGGAATGGAATGCTTGCGTGAGGAAGCATTTGCTGTAGTTTGACTGCACCGTGTGTGTGTGTGTGTGTGAGAGAGAGAGAGAGAGAGAGAGAGAGAGTCCACGCAAAGTTTGGTGGAATAAATAGTGGCAGTCGGGTCGGGTGACAATTTTTTTTAATGATGAATTATTGCATGTTGAGTTGCATGTATCCTCTTTTTCTTTTTTTAAGCCTTACAGTGTTCAGGATAGTTTACATTTATCTTGAATAATCCATTTCTCGGTTCGTTCAAAAACAATTTATCTACGTCGTAACTAAGATATTTATGAGAGATAAATCTCTTATGACCTAACACTAAAAAGTCGTTAATATTCGAACTTAATACATCTTAATTTACAATTCATCTCTATTATCCTACTATTATGTATCCTCTTGGAGTGGGTGGCTCTGTAGACTACTGTACAAGGACCACATTGTGCTGATTTAACTGTTGAGTTACATGGGACCATGGCGAAGTGGCTAGACACATTATCCTCTTCTTTGAATATAGCTTCCACTTTCAATTACATTTGTCGTTAGAAGCACTGGGTTTTTATTTTCTTTATTATTATATATTGATAAATCACTATTATATTGAATAAATAATTATTATAGTTTTTTAATAATAATAATAGGGAAAAAAAGCACTTAGGGGGAGGGGGTTGAATTGAAATGAACACACACATAGAGGGGTGAATAAACCCAAAATATGAAACAATAGAATCCCCCCCAATGAGGGGATATAGAAAATAATAAAGTTGTGCTTTTGACAAGTATTGACCCATTGACATCTACATTAGTGTATAAAATTTATTTCAAATTTTCTTTTCTTCGTTCAAAAATATTATTTTCTCTGCACAACCCTATTGATCCACACATATCTCTCTCCTATGGAACTACTCTCTTTTAAAGGGAAAAAAATATAAATAAATTATAATTTAAAATATAAATATTATACAATCAATACTCGATTTTTTATAGTGCAGAGTAGCTTGGGTACTAAATATTGTTGTTCTAGAAGACAAATTACCTATAATCTACTTCGATCAGTGCCCATTTTGACTAACCTCACCTGGCCTATGTTGCTGAATCTTCTATGGCTAGATTCTTACTCTGCAAATTAGATGTAAAATCTAATGCACAGAACATTAAAATGATTACTTCGACTTGTTCTGCTCTGCGTTAACTAAAGAACCCCTGTAATATACCCAAATACTCCTTTCTTTGGCTACTATTACCAATATAGACATGGCCAAGCATGTGAATTAGAAGTAAATATTGGGTGTAACGGTAATACCACGTGACAATGGTAACATGATATTGTCATCTAATAATAAATCTATAATTAAGTTATTAAATTAAGTAGGGTCTATTTGTATATATTTTAATTTATTATTGAATGGTATTATCAAATATTAATAATGATAGAGTATTAACGTTACATTTGATATTTTTTATAGACATTTTTTACCCTCTCTGAAGCTAGCATTGATGTTGGGGATTTTGGGTAACTCAGCTCGGACCCGGAACATAGTAGCAAGATCAAGTACAATTGGGCCAAAAAGATAGTGAACAAAGCAAGGACTCAGGTCCAGTACTGAAGGGAAGCCTTGTTAAGAGGCCCAGACAGATTCAACGTAATGTTTCTGTTTCAAGACTATATTTCATAGTTTGTTACTGTTCCACCAACGTCAGCCATCTAGCTCTTCTTTTGAGATTTTTTCTTACGGGTGTAATTTGGGTGGGTTAACTCCGATCTAACTTGAAAAACAAAAATTAGTGTTTGAATTGAATTTTTAAAAATTTAGATTGGACTTAGGCAAAATATCCTCAACCCAAATTGAATTCAAACTGGGCTTGAATTTAAAATATCTTTTGAAATTTGAATTGTATTGTATTTTATTATATAAATATATATTCATTTTTTTGAGTAAAATGTTTAAATCTATATTTATTTGATATGAGTTTGAGTAAATGACTAAAATTTATTTTTAACCTATTTTTACTTAAATTCAAATTTGTATTTAATTTGAATAAAGACCTAAGATGCTCTAATTAGGGCTACATCCCACAGGCGTAAATGTCAAACCAAAAAAAAAAAATCATGTTTTATATTTTTATACAGAACAATAGAAAATAAAAAAAGAGAAATTCTATGTGCTTCAAAATTTTTCATTAAATTTCCAAACAGATGTGAGCCATCAGATTAGTTAGTTTCACTGTGATCTAACGGCTCACATTCATTTGGTGAAAAATTTTGGTACCAAACTGCACAACCGTGTGTAATCACAACAGCTTCATACTGTACATGTTCCTCCAGAAGCAAAGCCATTTGCGTAATCAAGGCAATTCTCTAAATGTTATCCTTTCACCAACCCCTCCTTATCGTTCACCCATTTAACAGCTTGAATGCTGTTTTCTCAAACCGTCGAAACGGAGTACAAGACACTTCTTCGTCACCGCTTTCATAGCTGGTACCTCCAATGAAATCGAGATCGTCGGGGAGATTAACAGCTTCGTTTCTCTCCAATTTCACTCTCTTCTCAGTCCTCGAACCTTCCACGAACTCCTTTAATTCGTCAACTGGCCACTCAAACCGATCGAATTCTCTCTGCAATTTTATCTCTCCGCTGTTGATCCTTTTGCCGCCAATTTTGGAACACATTGCAGAGAGGAGGACCGGATCCAGGTAATCTTCAAGCCTCTTGTTCGTCACTTCTCTCTTTCTACATAGCTCGATCGAATTTGTATTGAACTGTGACGAATTGCGCCTTAAAAGATTGTCCCTGGTTAGAAATCAAAGGATAAATTGAACTTGAATTTCGAATACATATACAAAAACACATACATCGATGCATAGATTTAAGTATAAGATTGATTACCGAGATGTTACCATTGGATTTGATGATTGTGAGGGAAGAGAGAGAGGTCGAACGAGGCGTTTCTGGATATCTTCGACTGTGGCGAGAGGACTTGAAGCTTCGACTCTGCTTTTCTCCATACTTGTTCTTCTCACGCGGGAAGTGTCGTCGTTAGTAAGCCTCTGAAATGAATTTCAGGTAGGCGCACGGTCAGGGTCTCTCGGCTTTGGCCCAATCTTGAACCATTCTCCTCTAGGGCCCTATCCATAGCTCAATTTTTGACCCACACTTGGCCTAGTGTCGGGCCAATTGTTTGGCCCAGGAATTATTCCCGGGCTACAAGGATTCCACAGTCCCTAGTTTCTTAGGTTGGACCACCAGGCCCATTCTCGGCCCTACTTGCCAACGATTTGTGGCTTATGAAGTAAACTTTGTGGCTTGCAGTAGAGTTATATAGGGAATGATATCGGCAGATTCAAATTTTGTTTTTGTGTATTATTTTGGTCACCAAAAAACAAAAATATTTTGAAGTACTTCAAAAATGTTTCGATTCGTTTTTAAACTATAATGAAAAAAATAAAAAAGTTCAAAATTTTTCACAAACATTGGTCGAAATATATTAAAATATTTTGAAATATCTTGAAATATTTTGAAATAATTATACAAATACATTAAAATATTACAAAATACATCGAAACATTATAAAACACTTCGAAATATTAGAATTTAGATTACATCACTAATTTGTTTCGATCTCTTTGAAAATAAAACGTTTCGAAATGAAATTTTAATCATTGATCGGTACTTAAATACTGAAATCGTGTGTTCACTACTGAAAGACTGAAATTACTAAATTCATATTTCAATCGTATTCCTAATGCAACCGCAGTAGAAAAAATTTCAGATGAACATTGTAAAGACTAAATAAGAGAAATAGCAACTAATGAAATGAATTCCAAGTTGTCTTCCGCCTCGCCTATCTCCTACATAAGTGTAGGGCTGCCCTTATCTATTGTGATCTTCAGTCTTTATTGCACACGATTTGTGGCTTATGAAGTAAACTTTGTGGCTTTAAATCCGACCCATGAAAAAAAAAAATGGAGAGGGAGGGGAAAACATATTCCATATTTGCTATAAATGATTGACAATTATATCACTTAAAACTTAAATCTTTCAGAAATCAACACCCGTCTAATGAGCATGACCATACACACAAAAATATTTAGGTACCTTATCAAATTTGTTTTATAGTGACACATCTTAGTTTAACGTATTGGTGATCATTGATTTTTAAAATAATAGAATATAATAAAAAAATTAACATATAATGTTTTAATTTAACCAATAATTGATATAATACCAAAATATAAATTTTTTGATTTGGACACCTAAGCATAGACATGTCCTGTTTTTTGGCTTGACATTTCCTCGGAAGCCTACCAAACCATCACTTCAGCAGTTTCATTTTTCCTAACAGAAAGTATGTACTTTTATTGTATTTTTGTCTAATCCTTGTGAAAATAATAAAATAAAAAATATAGCTGTTATGTTTTTCCTAAACAAAAATAAGAATTGTGGTATAAAAAAGTATTTTTTGGCTATTCATTGTGAAAATAATAAAATAAAAATTATACCCGTCACGTTTTTCCTAAACAAAAATAAGATTTGTTCCAAAAAAATAAAAAAAAAAACCACGAAGGCGAGCCAAAAGGTGTGCTGAAAGATTTGCATGAAACTTGGGTCAGACCGCAAAAGAAACCTTTCCTTGGATGCTACCAAACCATCACATCAGCAATTTTATTTTTATAAAAAGAAAGTACACTCACCAACTAAAATGACTCAGTTTCTACATAGCTAGTGAGCCACAGACCTTCCTAGAACCATTTGATACGTTATTCCACTCCATTATTCTTACATCCAAGAATATCTGGAGGAGTGTTAGTTTCAGAATTATTTATCATTTATAGCAGTTTTGAAATAAAATTAACAAGTTATGATATTTTTTAATTTATTTATTTATATAATAAAGTACAATATAACTTAAATTTTAAAAAATAATAAAATAATTTTTATTATTTACGATTGAGATCGCTTTAAATTTTACTTTAAAGTTAATCTAACCATTAATATTAACACCTCAAATTTAATAAAAAAAATAGAGTCATAAATATGTGTTTTGAGTGATTTTTTAAAAGTATTTCTAGAAATTATTTCTCTTAAATATTTTTTTTTAAACAAATAGTGTTTGAAACCGTCCCACGATTACCTCTACCACCCCCACCCCCACCCCCACCGCTCCACCACCATTACCATTACCACTACTGTCGCTCACTGTCAACATTCATCACCACCCACTGTTACCAACCACTGTCACCTACTGTCCCACCACAGCTACTACCACCACCCACACCCACCACTATCACCGTTATCACTCACAGTTATCATTATTATCATCGTCACTCAAAATTCACCACCATCGTCACTATTTTCATCCACGACTGCTAGCACCACTACGGTCATCGTCTTACCCACCACAATTATCACCGTCTCCCATCATCATCATTGTCACTACCACCACCACTCACTTCCATTACAATCGATGCTTAAATTTTTTTACCTCTCTTTTATGTTTATAATTTGATTTTAAGTGTAAATACAAATATGTTAACCATTTTTTTTATTATTTCGTGCCTTTAGGCGCGGGAAATAACGAGTTAATTTATAATATTTTTTAATAAGCAAGGTCTACAACTCTAATTTTAAGAATGAATTTATTGAATTTAACATTATTTTTTTTTTAATTTTTGACATCTGACTAAACATTGAATAGACTTATTCAGCCAAAGTTTAAAAGTAAGGTCAATACCTCCGTTTTTTAAAAATTTCGTAATATAATAAAGAAGTTAAAAAATACTGAAATTTGGTAACTTTATTCCAAATTTGCCACAAACTGGTAATAATCTAATAGTTTCATCAATGGACGGTCTTATTTGCCAAAATATGATACGAATTCACGTGAATCTAAAAATAATACAATCAATAATTGGTAAAGAATAAGTGAATCAAGTCAATATTAAGGATTACTTGTTGATGTATTGTAAAGAAGAAAATCTATTTTGTATTTTCATCTATTTTGTAAAGAAGAAAATCAAGCCAAATAATTTTTTTCGATCGCATAGATTGCACCTTTAAATATATGAAAGTAACATGTCCAATCGGCGCAAATATCACACTTTAATATACATAACATGTGGTTAAGTCGGTAAAAGTTTTTTTTTTTTGGGGTTTTTGTCATTGGGTCTTCAGGTCAAGTTATTAATTTTTTTTTTCATTTGGTCAAAAACAGGTCATTCGTTTTTGGACTAGAAAATTAATGGAGATAAATCCCTCACAATCAAGCCTCAAGAAAATTATTAAATTTTAAAATTAAAATATATGAATTTACGATTTGTTTTCGTTTCTATGGCCTACACCTTGGGGGTTGCTAGTAGAAGTTCTCTGCTACTGTAAATGATCTAAACTTGAGATAAGGGTACTAAATCAGTGAAAACTGCCCAGGCTTTATGGTAGGGTCAATTCGAGCTTTATCAAAGCTGTACTCAGTTTTGTGTGACAAATGTACATCAATCCTCCACATATAGCACATTGCATAGGGTTGAATCCATGTTAACAGCATTAAAGTTGCACAAAGATGATATGTACAAAAAAGCAAATCATATCTACTACCTAAGGTTTACTTTAAAGAAGTAAGTAGCAGACAGTTTACCCCATTTTTTAGAGAGATTTTCTCGATTCGAATGAATTGTTACTATATTATTAAATATAACTGAAAGAGTTGTCTCTTTTCTATCAAATTTTTCCGTTATTCTTAAAAATCAACAAAGTTATTGAAAGTTTTAAGAACTAGTATTATTTGTGAATCAACAAGCCTAGAATAAGAATTTAAATCAAAATTTGTGCACAAATCAACAATTTATTTTCATTCGCCCTTTTCATTTATTATACTCTTGTTTCTACCTGTCTCCTTGCATCATTTATCCATTCGGCATGTCAAAAAAAAAGAGAATCATAGCCCAATAAAAATATCATTTTTTTTCTCAATAAGATAAAAAATGAATCGATTGTCTCAGTAAAAGACAGAAACCCATAAATCATGGGAATGTTTTCTTATTGAATGGTTCATGCAAATAAAATAACAAAGAACATTTCTTGGAATTCATGCGCTCTCAACAGGTAGCCTCTTTTTAATGGGAAACAATAGGGCCATATTCCCATCAATATACATTTAATTTTATGTGGGTTTTTTTTAGGTGTTTGAGAAGGAGTCATCATGGAGGATGTTTGCTCTCTATTGGAAAACCAAGTATCTAAAATCATGTCTGATATAAGTTCAATAACTATGAACAAAGAGAGGCCACTTGTTTGGACAATTCTAGTTTGTTGTGATAAAGATGTCCCTTCCCTTCCAAATGAAAAACATTGGATTCCAAATACTTCTGATCACATAATACCGGAATATATCCTTTTGGCCAGAAGATGGGTTGCCTGGCCTCTTCATCATTCCAGGTACTCTTTGGCCATATTTACCCTACCTTCGAATCTCATTGTCTGCGATATGAACGTGATAGACTTAAAATCTAGTCTGCCTTCATAAATCTCTCTATTAGTTTTAGATTTTATGAGTTTATGATCATTTTAGGAGTTTCTATCTCAAATTTGTGTAGCAGAAGAAGAAGAAGAAGAAGAGAAAAAGGTAAGATTCGACAAATTGGGTGTTCAAATTAACCAAGCAGAATATGTTGTCGTCTTTGTAACTGCATAGCACCTTGATTACAAAAGAAGGTGGGGTGTAACAAAGTTACAAGTCTATGCCCATCTCTTTTTCTTGGTCTGCACTTCATCTCTCTAATCTTTTGGGACTTTAACTTTACAAAATCAGATCAAGTTAATGCTTAAATCAATTCCAACAAATAAATAAATATATAAAATCAAAGGGATAAAAACTATGAAAATAGAAATAATTTACATATGTAGGATTTGCGATTAATGCACCAATACACAGTTCCTGAATCGTAATTTTTCTCTAAAATTTCATAATTCATAGTAATTAATACCCACATACAATCAAGCATTAATGCTAGCTAGATTATTCCGTGTTGTCCCTTCTAGCTTTCTTGATCTTCTGGCCTAAATCTTGTTGAATCTTCGGAGGAAACATTGATTCAACCTCTTTGGATAGATCAAGCAGAAGACTTCGTCGAACTATCGGCGACGATGCTTTTCTTTTATTTGATGTCTGTGGTTTACTTTTCTTGGGAGCTGGTGGGCATTTTGTGATCACTGGGAGTTTCGAATCCAATGATGTTGGAGTTCTGAACCCATTATCGTCATCGTCTACCAATGATGTTGGAATTCTGAACCCATTATCGTCATCTTCCACCTGCAGATCGGAATGTCCAAGCAATGGCTTTTTTAGCTCACTGCAGGAAGAAACTGAACTCTCATATTCTTCTTCTTTCTTATCATCCTCGTGTTGGTGTTGATGGTCTTGATCTTGAAGTTTATGATCAAAATTTGAAGCGATATTTCCACAGCCATCGGCAAATTCCAATTTGGGAGGTGACACAATGTTGAATTCGACCTCTTTTCGATCTTCTTTGACGAGGAAAAACTCTGAATTTGACATACTTAGGAAGGAAAATTGGTCGAATTCTGAGTACATGAAGAGAAAACTGCAAAGCAGGATGAGAGAGAAAGGGAGAAGGGGGGTATAGGAAAGCTAAGAATAGAAAGAGGTATAGGGGAAGCTAAGAAGAGAAAGAGGTATAGGGGAAGCTAAGAAGAGAAAAGGGTGGTTGTTATAGAGATCCTACATGGAAAACAGTCATCAAATCACCATCTTTTCTGCTTCTTTAGAGGATTTCTCTTAACTTCTTTGGGTTTTTGTTGTTTTCCCGGGCCCTACACTTTTGGGGAGAGAGAAGAAGAAGAAACGGTTTTAAACCGTGAGAGAGAGAGAGAGAGAGAGAGAGAGAGAGAGAGAGTCTGTGCGCATCGGATCCTTCGCCAAGAGGGTTTGAAAGCCTCCACCTTCCTTAACTGATCTCTCTCTCTCTATACATATCACTATATATGTTAACCAATTGTGTAACATCTATATAAGCATTTTTAGCTTTTGTTTTCTGATCTCTACGCACTTTGATGCATCTATGCACGTGGTTTTGCTACGTGGGGACCACCTCTGATGTTAACACACCTCCCATTTTCTCACGACTTAATCCACCAATTTTATCACATCTGTTGTGTTTTACAAGCAATAATTAAACATACATTAAATATCAAAAATAAAGTTCAAAAAAACCAGATCTAAATACCATTTCCCAATATATTTATATACATATAAAACACATTAGTAATTTTTTTGAGTCAAATCACTAGAGATTTATTTCTTATAAATATTTTAATTTTGGTATGAATGACCTATTTTTGACCGGATCAGGCAAGAGAGTCAAGATATGCGTAAGATGGACTAAACATCTTTGACCGTTGAATTAAAAAATAAAAAATAAAAACACATTACACATTACGCACACACACATTATGTTTAGTGTATTTTTCAGCTGCATTCATGCTAGTATTTTTAAATTTTGTCACCATTGTATTTTCTTTTCTTAAATTTCATATGACAGTCTACACAAATTGGTATGGTAATTCAAAACACGAGTAGTAAATATATACATTCTTGATGCGAGTTCGACTAGCCAAATAGAATTAGAGTTTAATTAATGTGCGTGATTTACAAGTAATTATGTGTACCTGTCATTTATGTTATAACGATGAGTTTAAAAGATGAGTGATTTGGATAATTTCGTATTACTGCAAATAATCTTACATTACAAGTCTTATTAATATAAGATGTGTGGATATTTCTTTCAATCATTTTCAGCTCATAATAACCATCTAGACAATGTGGGTTCTCAGTTGCATTATAAGAATTCTTTTATAAAAATCACAAATTGGGACTCAATCCAGCCATTTTTATGGCTTTTCTTGATGCTTCTGCTAGTCATGAAGAACAAGATGGTTGATCTGAAAACATTCCCCCTGCATGCATGGAATGGCTTTGAAAAGTCCATCCCTCCATAATTAGCAGCTATCTCTTTCTACTTCTTATGTGAGATGTCCCCTTACTTTCACCGCATCTAATTCCTCTCCAATACACTTTAATTTTAATTTTTTTAATACATTATCTACCATTAATGAATGAGGGACTCATTTGTATACAAATTAGTGAAGATCTCACTCCATCTTCACCACGATAAACTAGTTAAATTTTCAACTCTTGATACCTTAATCTTTTTACTTGTTTGTAGATTCACTCTTGTAATAATTTTCTTCACATTATTTATCAAAAATAATTGATGTCTTCATCTCAATTAGAAAATAGAACCATCTTGTAGTGCTGTATGTAATTTCATATGAGTGATGTAAATAACATTTTGGATCCGCTTTAACCCGCAAAGGTAATCCAACGGTGTGAGATTGGATCTGGAATGACCGCAGACTAGATGTTAGGGGTTTGACTTTCATTGATGTCTCATTTGCTTAATTGATACATGTGGTTTGTGGATGGTTATAGATATCCTGAGTTTACTCTCGCGAGAATAAACCTTACCCTACCTTGAACAGATTCCTCATTCTAAAAATAGAGGATATTTTGGAATCCTGTCACTAAATTAGATCAATAAATTAGATATAAGTAATATTATTATTTTATTATTAATTGTGATCCGTTATCAATTCAATAATTATAATGCATTAAACCAATAAATTATATCAATAAAATAAACCCAAGTTGTATTATTGATTTGGTTTTAACCTAGGATTCCTCCACTGAAAATGGAAGGGGTTGAGATTTGGTAATCTTCCAAAACATATTTATGGACTGGGTAACACTTCTTTTTGATCTTTTGCTATTATTAGTATATATATACTCTTACTAAATACTATTTTCTCGTGATATGATAAATTGACGATATGATAAATTCATCAACTTTGAGTATAAAGCGGGAGAGAGGCTGGGGGGGACCGGACTCGGACTGCATGGTTTTCATCATCCAACAAACAGTATAACATAAACCGAAGCCCACCTTCCACGCGCATACAGAGCGCGTGAACACAGGCTCTAACTAACATGTAGCGGGTGTACCTAACGGCTATCCGAGGCAGGTAAGATTATGGGGATGGGTTAGTTTGGTAATTAAGGATTATTATAAGATAAATTTACAAGTTTAGTTTGCTGTAAAATAAAACACAGACTCTCATGCGGTATCATTGCATTTGATGCACATGCTTCATGATGATTTTGCCCCCATAAGCCAACCATCATTCCCTATGTTTCATCACCATAATCTCCCCCTCCGCAATTTCCCACCACTTTTCTAAGCCATCCTCACAAATCTGGGTTTGGTTTATGGTTTACTTTTTAATCCCCTTTTTTTAATAAGAAGGTAACTAGAGGTTAGCGATTAGTTTGATGCTCACTGTTTTGCTATTATGTCTTACGATTACGAGTTCGAACCTCGTTATCCCCCTCTCTTGAAATAGTTTTTAACAAAAAAAAAGGTTGTAAATGTACAAATGATCCACATTATCCTAAACATCCAGTTTAAGGATGTATAATGAACTCAGTACAACAAACTAATTTACTTGAGCTCGACTCATGATTAACTCGTTGAAACTTTGTTAGAAATTGATTGTTTATATAAATGAAATTTAGTAAATTTGTGAGTTTTTTAGATCAACTTGACAAATTAATTAAAAAATATACTAAAAAAATCAATCTACTTGAGTTTGAGTCAAGTAAAACTCATTCGGGATGGGTGAATAAAGAAGAAGAAAGGAAAAAAAAACCAAGTTGAAATTTATTCAAAGCTTGTTGAGCTTGAACAAAATTATGGACTAGGCTAGAATCGTTTATACCACCTAGTACTCAACACCCAACTACCCAAGTTAGGCACTGAGGAGGGAATCAAATAGAGTTCCAAACTAGCTCTTTAGGGTGGGCTTTTTTTTATGGTTTTTAGGGTGGCGTGGTGAGGGGGGGGGGGGGTGTTGGTTGTCTTGAGCTAATAGATTCCTTTACATATTACAACATTAGATTATCCTGGTTGACACAGATTGTCCACCTCCAACTATTCTAAAACCTTATAAATGTGAACTCTCTCTCTCTCTCTCTCTCACATGTGTGTGTGTGTAACTTGATATTGGCCCTGGTAGTACTAATGGAGTTGGATGAATGATGAGGAGCCCCTACTTTTCATGGTATGTGAAGAAGTTGTGAAGCTTTCTTAAGAGTACAATAGATCATGTTCTCCACCACAACGTGTCTCTTGTTGGCCACTTGGTATGTCAGGTACCCACCCAATACCCATCTTTTCTGCAACTCAACTTTTCCTAAACATAAAACTGATGATCTCTTGGAAGCTTGGGATGGCTTCTTTCTTCTTAAAGTCAAAGCTTAGAAACTCATTGATGGAGGGGCACAGCTCAAGTGGGCCAGATTGAATCTTAGTTGGGCCTTACCAACAAGATCATGGAGTTATTGGGTGTCATCCCAAGCTTGTCTGATTAGTACCTGGTCCAACATCTCTTCACAGTACTATTATTGTGCAGTGCACATCAAAGAAGCTAAAAGGGTCGCTAGTGGTTAGCTGCCAATATTAGTTTTTTTTTTTTTATCTGAATTGTATTACGAGTTAACTCTCAGTCAATATTAGAGTTGTCAATGGATTGGATTTGTGTCTTATATGAACCGTGTTTAACGGGTTAGTATCGTATTTATCTGAGTTTTTGTCAATTTATTTAATCTATTAAATTTTAATGGGACTCATTATTTACCATCCGACTCTACAAAGATTAAACTTCAACTTTTTTGATTCCGTGTGCTATTAAAGTTTGGGGGGGAAAAAATTCATTGAAATCCACAAAAATATGTCCTTGTGGTCAAGTGATTGTAGGATCTCAATCAAATAATTTTTCAATTCT